ACGGGGGAGAAGAGCTAGACGAGAAGAAGGAGGATGAGGAGGAGGGCGGAGGACGCTTCGGGTGGACGAGGGGAGGAGCAGCAGAGGCGAGGGCGGAGGGGGGTGAGGAGGGAAGAGGGGGGAGCACAGCTGCCCTGATTCGCCTGTTTTGGCACGCGAAACGCACCGTGTTCAAAACGTCCGTGTTAACACGCTGCGTGTTTGCTCAACGTGCTGGCCCACGTTTTGGCGAACGCATCGCGCCAAACGTACGTTTTCAATCTGCGTGTTGAGCTCCGTGTCAAGACGCTACGGGCTGCGTGTTGCGTCTCGAGGCAGCTAGGGGGGGGAGGCAAGCTACGGCAGGTCTGCGCCGCGTTGACGCGGCGGCGACCCCAGCGCGGGCGTTCAAGGTAAAACGACGCCAGTGGTTCAGAATCGGCCGATGTCGAGATCAGTGCTATCGGAGAACCGCGATCGTTCAAGGTTGAACGTCCCACGCGACATCAGAAGTCAACGCCCGCGACATCGCGACGTGAACCAGCCATAGGTGCTCTCGCGCCACATCTGACATCCTGCCCCTCCCACCCATCCCTTCCGATTACGCTGACTGCTCTATATCCACCGACGGGTCTCACGGCGGACCTGGAAACCCCCCGAATGACCCATATCGTGTGATGCCCAAGTTGAAAAAGGGAGCTGTGTACAGTTGAAGAGGAGGTGGAGAGGAGGAGGAGGAGGAGGGGGTGGCGAATGAGCCGGAGGATGAGCAGGAGGAAGAGGAAGAAGGAGGAGGAGGAGGAGGAGGAAGAGGAGGAGGAGGAGGAGGAGGAGGAGGGGAACAGTAGCAGCAGCGGAAGCAGGAGCGGGAGGAGATGGAGGACCAGGGGAAGGTTGAGGAGGGAAAGGAAGGGGGCGACAATCACGAGGAATGGTTCTGATCCAGAAAATTTGGCCCGCGCTGGAGCGAGAGCGCCAGGAGCCCAGAGCGCCGATACCCCCCAAAAAAGAGGCCAGCGCTGCAGCGGGAACACCACTTGAGAGGAAAGTTTAGCTGAGAGCATCATGTGTTGGACTCCTGTGCAGGAGAGCATGCGGGAGCAGATGGGCCCGCTCGTACAGAATCTGAGGAGAGAGGAGAGTGGTATGTATATGGTGAGCGTGGGGTTGGGGCGAAGAGGGGCGGAAGGCGGAGAGGCGCCTGAAGCTTCCATCGGCGCCAGCTCCTCGTCCTTCCCTTCCTCCTTCGCCCCCTCCCGCCCTCCCGCCCCCCCCCCCCCTCCCCCGCCCCTCCTCCCTCCTGCTCCTCTACCTCTTCCCCCCTCCCATCCCTTCAGGGCGGTTGACGCTCGCGGCGGGGCGGACATGCACTGGTGGGGCCCCTGCACCATGCAGTCCAAGTACGCGTTCCTCCTCCTTGCCTCCTCCCACCTTCCCGATCCTTCCTCCTCCTCCTCCTCCCCCGATCATTCCTCCTCCGTCCTCCGTCTTTCTTCCCCTTCATCCCGCTTCGGATTATTGTCATCCCGCTTCGTGTTATTGTTGTTATGCGTAGCCCAACGCTTATTATTGATTATATGTTGATGAGTGTTGGTCTTCCCGTTCGTATCATCCTTATTGGCATCAGTATTCGCAATAGTAGTAGTGTTATATGTATTATTGGTATGACTGGTGGTGTTGTTATAGTATCAAACGTTCTGTCTGCATTTGTAGTAATAGCATCCACCTTCGTATTGTTCTGAGTATTGAAATGTGCGATTTTGTATGATGTTGCGTCGCCTTCTTCTCGTTAAGATTCTTCTCAGGATTCACTGAACAGCGTTTGCACATAAGGAGTTTTACTTCTGTTCTAAGGAACTGGGCGTGTGTGGCGGTCTGGCGGCTATGTTGTCGCCATCGCCGCCTCGTCGCCGCCCGTCGTCTGGGCCTGTGTGGCGGTCTGGCGGCTATGTTGTCGCCGTCGCCGCCCCGTCGCCACTTTGCTGCCGCCCGTCGTCTCGGCCTGCCTTGCGTTGCATCGCTGCACCATGCTTTGCACTGCAGTGCCTTGCGTTGCCTTGCTTTGCTTTGCACCGCCATGCCGTGCCTTGCTTTGATCTGTAGTGTTTTGCGTTGCGTTGCACTGCCAGGCATTGCCGTGCATCGTTTTGCATATTTTTGCATTCGCTGCAGTGCATTCTCTTTTCTAACAAGAGAGTAGACTCTACCCTCCCCTTGGCGTTATCCGCCCCCCTTTCGGGTATGTAACTCATATATGATTATGACCACATGTCCATCCTAAATATGAGTTTACACTATCCCAGGGGGGCCGGTATCGGCCCCCCTGAGGTTCCCTTGTAAAAAAACGATACGCGGGGACATCTTTCGTTCTAACATAACACTTGCACACGCGCGCGTCGTCGCGCGCGCATGCCGAAATCCTTCAAAACCCTTCGGTGTCGGAAGGATTTCGCAATCGAATTTCCACAGGGTTTCGCAACACTGATTTGCTAAAAAATCTTACGCGCGAGCTCTTGCGAAA